AGAGAAGTAAGCAAAGCAAAGCTTAATCCATGCCCAATGTGTTAGGAACCAGCTAATAAAACTGAGCAGTCACTGCAGCTTGCTCTACTATCAACTTACTTCCCTGGGAGAAGTCAGCCAAAGGAGCAGCCTCGCTCTCTGGGGAAGGGGGGGGGGCACCAGATGCCTTCTGCAAGGCCAGTGCCACCTCCTGCTCCACATTCACCAGCCCAGCTCCTCGCTGCAATGACCAAGGTACCTGTGACTGCCAGGACAAGGAAGCAGCTACTGCAGCGAGACCTGAGGAGGAACGATGATGTTCACAACTTTGGCTCTGCCTCTACAGTTGCTAAAGTTGGCCCCCCGCAACTTCTACTTAACTGAAACCAATACCACTATACCTATAAACAAATGTGGGTTGTAAAAGAAGCTCTTGGCTTAATACAGGAATGGGTGTAATTCCATGGTCTGAGCTATGCAGGGAGGTAGTATACAGACCATAATGGTCTATTTTTGTCCTAAATGCTATGAAAATACAAAAATTACTGAAATTATACAGGATATGCCATATTAACAAGATGCATGAAGACATATCAGCTCTTTGGAAGAACTCACTATCTTGCATTTCTTGTACAGATCATCAAATCTCAAAGTGACAGAAAAAGATACTGGACGTACTACGAATTTCAATCAGAAAATAATTTCAGATACAGATGTTGATGACTAAACATCATCCAAACCCGATATGTTATGATAAAAGGAACTGGCAACCACACCAGTAAAGATGCTACCACTGAAAGAACAAAAAACGACCACTGCTGAAAGTGGTGAGAGTGTTTCCCTTACCTCTTTCATATTATTTCCAACAGATCAAACATGTAATTACAAGGATGCATACCCTTTACTTTTGCACCTCAGCCTGCAATAGACAGGTGGATAAATACTGAAAAATCAGTATAAGATTGAAAAGAATATTGAAAATATTGTTAACATTTCAGAAATATTTTAAATTAATATTAACAAAACATTTTTAATCCTATCAGATAGGCAACTGAAGGGAAAAAAGGTCTCATGATGTTCCTGCTCTGATACTCAAACTTTCTAGCCAGTGTAGTACTGTGAGCAAGAATCACAGCTTGTCAACATGAGCCCCGTAGGTGCAAAGATGACAAAAATCTGAGGAACTGAATCACAAGAAATAAAAAACCCTTCCTCTCATGACAGGGTAAGCAGTGCTACAAATACAGCTTTACTTGAACAGGGAGGGAACCTTAAAGGACCCAAATCCATGCGTGCCAAGGTGTGCAGACAAGAACAGTGAGGAACCACATACATTCTCGATTTCTAGAGAGACAAAAAAGAACTGGTGGCACAATGAAAAATTCCATTTCAACATACTAGAAAGCTTTCTTTCGATACATATCCTAAAATGCTTGTTGGTATATAATGGAGTCATATTTACTCTGAACCATGTCTAACCGACACCAAGATTACTTTTATTACTGAGCATAAGCAGAGGGGTCAAATATTTTTTTCAAAATCAGCACCTAATCTGTAGTGAATTGCTAACTTCAGTTAAGGGTAACTTGTAATACACATAATACTACAGAGTAATCAAGCTGTAGATCTGTTCATGTTTTGGTATTTAACTCCTCTTACCATTACTGATTATTCTCTCTGATGTTCTGGGGGAGGCAGAAATCCCCTTTGCACACAAGAAAGCAGAACACTTCTATGCTTAGTTTGACCAACACAGAAGTACAAACTTCATTAGAGCTTATTGGTCATAATTTACTCATGAGAAATTTTCAGACTGAGGCCTAAACAAAATTTGACATCATCACACGCTCTTTATTTCACTGCCAGCTTAACCCAGGGTCAGAGACCAATGCAGAAGTGCCTATGAAGATTTAAGCTACAAGTCAGCCTCTGTACTGGGGGCTCAGCTGGAGCAGTGGAAGTTCACCCACACCCTTCATTCCCATCAGTGTAAACTCAGGCAGTTCAGCACATGAGAAATGGTGATTAGTCTGTTCCGCCTGTGGAGGTTTAGAGTGGGGAAATAGAGTGGGTATAGCTGTCTCCATAAAATCATTCAAGGAAAAAATAAATAAATGAAAGAGACAAATGATAAAAAGTGGAAGAGTATCATGTTTGCCTAAGAAAAAAAAACCAGAGCCTGAAAAAGCTCTATGAACAGCCTTAATGGACTAACAAAACGTACCTGCAGAAAACATGAGCAGCAGGTCATATCACGCTTCATACACAGAGAGCTGCTGACAGAAAAACTTCTGAAGCAACTAGCTACAAAAGGTTACAGCACAAATTAAAAAACAGTGACAACAATCTGATACCAACTTAATGTGGGTATCAAATTGATTTATATAGTTCAAATGAGACCTAACACTGACACAACTAGCACTTTGTAAGAGAGGCAAAGATTTATATGCAAGGAGCAGCTCTGAAACTATGTATACTTGAAATACAAAATATTAACCTAACCTTGTTTCCCTAGAAGAATCAAACAGCAATAAGCTTGAAGAGTAGTAAATGAATCCTGCTATGAGAACGAAAATAGAGGACAAACTTAAATTTGAATTCAGCTACAGACTTCCATGAGTTGCAATGCAAAGCCAGAAAAAACTAACAACTGAAATGCATCCTGAGAGCAAACAGCAGGAGCAGATAAATCAGAAATGAAAGCATGTGATTCCTGTGTAATCTCAGAATCTATCAATTTAATTTTTCTGGGTTTTCATTGCTGGAAGCAAACTTAATAGTGTTATAGAAAAATGTTGGTTCATATTACAGGGAAAGAACTAAGTATTGAGAAATAATAGGTTCTGACAAATATAAATATATGGCACTTGTCTGAAAATTCACAGTACTGACAAAATTGCTAAAATTGGCCACAAAAAACCTGCAATGAAACTATGAAAAACAAAAATGCCAAGTATTCCTAATTGCCACATCAAAATCCCTAAGCTATTATGGAAAAAGTATAAAGACTCTAATAAGTTTGGTTTACAGAACATTGGTTTCACATGAGATTGTAGTCCAGAAGTGCAAGTTAAAAAAATATTAAATCACATTTTGATTTCAGCCTCTTTCCCACTATAGGGTGTCTTTCTTTCTTTTGGGGGGGGGAATATTTTTACCAGTAGCAAAATTTCCAAAGGTGCACAAGTGACACATACTCTTGAAATTACAGCTGAAGTAATTTATGCCTGTTTGCATCCCAGGCCTATTTGCATATCATTTCTCCACTGCTTAAAATGTGCTGTCTATTTCTTTCTCATATATGTACACTGGACAAATTTTAAGCATGTGCATGCACATGTGTATATGCACATGTATATATACACAAATATACAGACACATACCCATCTATATATGCATATACAAACACTAAATTTCTCAAAACAATTCCTTCATATTTGAATTCCAAAGGTTTCTTAATACAAACATGCAGACAATTTCTTTTTAGAATTTCATCTGCAGAAGACTTCTGATGGCATCTCTTTTGAAATACATGAAATGTATCAGTCAATTCCACACACACACAGAGTCATCAAATATCAAAGCAATCATTCATTCCTTTTAATTTGGCTCCTGCAAATATCAATAGCTCTAAGACAAACATACTACATAAAGCATATTTATTGTATGTTCTGTACCACAGTAAAACCAGAAAATAGACTCCAGATGTTTCCTCAAATCCTGCCAAAAACAAAATTTGAAAAAGCGTTGAAAACCGAGCAAAGTTCGAAGCCCTGACTTAAAACATTTAGGAAGAAGAGGCACAAGGAATCTGTAGCTTTATTAGGAGTAAATTTGTTCTGTCTTCACCTATTAGATAAGAAGGGTCAATCCTGAATAACTGTAAATACAGCAACTATGAAGAATAAAAATTCTCATTTTCTTCCTGTTTATTACTTCTTTAAAATTACATCTCAGACCTTCCACAGATTTGAGACTGAGAGAAAATTTTCAACAACTTTCACTCATTTGGAAGGCTAGATCCCTTTGGGAGTTAATTAGACTTAGCTTCTAGCTACACTAAAAGTAATACTGAAAATGGGACTTGGCCCCTAATTTTCCTAATTTGTAATTTCCCCATGTTAGTTAGCACCACAAAGTCAAAACAAAGTAACTGATATTGCATGAGTCCTGTTTTGTTGAAACGCAAAGTAAAGGAGGTTTCCTCAAACAATCCTTTGGTAGGAATGACTGTAGGCTTTGCACTGCACCAGATGAAGTGTTTTGGGCCCATTGTTTCTCATTTGAGTGCCAAAAACAATAACTACAGCACAGCAGCTTACTAAAAGCATGTAAGTACTGTCAAAACCAACCATCTTTAGAAGTTCTTGAGGTGGGGACTCATCTGGCCCAATAGATCCTGTAAGACCTCTGAAATTGATCCAAACATAAAGGAGTAAGAAACACTTCCAGAGGCAACTCACTACAACTATCTTAGATACTTATTTTACAATGAAAAATTTGCCTTCAGGATGTGTCCATCTTTGTCCCTCAGGCACAGAGGAAGTCTAGGCAACTAGTTTAGCGTTCATCTGCTGCTCTGGTGGGGACAGCAAGAAGAATGCAAGCTGCAGTGCAAAGTACTCAAAACGGCTTGTGTCAGCAGGTATTTATGAAAAAACAAGCAAACAAAAAAAGCCTTGGATCCATCACTAATATCATATACTTTTTCCTCATATAAAACTTATTACCAGATATTCTTTAATGGACTGCTTAATACTAACATGTATTTTCAATTTGCAAGTAATGAACAAAATAATTGGGAATTTGAAATACATGACTTTCTGATCTGTCTCTTGTCTTTCAGAAGTATCAACTCAACCAAAGCACATTCTGTCCCTTACTTTATCATACACAGACAGTCTATTGGACCAATACAGGTTATGAAAAAATACAATTGTTTACAAAAGCGTAGCTTAGACTGAAATCCCACAGTCAGGATATGCTGAATTATGAAGGGGTAACACAGTTAGTTATTTTACCTGCATAGCACTCTTTCCCAGCTTAACCACCTCAAACAAAGTGACAGGGTCCCCTTCTCCATTCTGCTGAGGGTGGCCATTAGCTCTTCCACGACTTGCTCCTCTAGCTCCAGATTCAGAACGACCTTTGTCTGCTGGAGACTTCCGAGGTTTCTTAGTGGCAGACTGGGCAAAGAAAACCAGCAGAACAAAAATTTATTATAGCAATATCTGAAATCACTCACTGTATCTTTATAAATTATACATAAATTTTACACACACATTTATACACTCAAACATGTATATACACACAAGTATCACAGAATGAGCCAGGCTGGAAGGGATCTCAGGAGGTCTCCAGCCTGACCTCCTGCTCAGAGCAGGGTCAGCTATGAAATTCAACCAAGTTGCTTAGGTCTCTTTATCCAGTCAGATACACATATTTTTATTTATCAGTAGTTGTTGAGGAACAACTTAAAAGCCACCGTCATGTCAAGGTAAGCAGCGGTGAATTTCCAACACTGAGTACCAGTTCACATGAATACCCATATTAGCCTTATTCAATACAAACAGATAGTTGACAACATGACTAAAACTAGATAAATAGTAGCAAATTACAGACAGGACAGCAAAAGTGTTTTATGCTGGCACAGAAAAACTTGTAGAATAACTAATGATCTTTGGAAGACAGTAAGTTATTAAAAATACCCTTGTCATGTTAATGTTCATTTTTCTGCATTTTAATTTTTATACAACTTTTATAAGAAACTGTGTACATAAAAAGTCAGCTCTTCAACTCAACTCAAATTAAGTCACTGACTTTATAAAGCCAGATTTAGTAGATCATCATAATAGCCCCTTGCTCCAAAATTTTATGAGTTATAACATTTTCCCTGTGAATCTAAATTATTTAATGTAGATTTTCTCTAGATTTTTCAAACTTATAATCAGGTGGTATAGATCCCACTTGTGAGAAGTAACCTAGTGAACAGTTTGCTCTTAATTTAAGTCACCTTATGCAAAAAAAAAAAAAAAGTTTCTGGGAAAAATAACATAAGATCCCTGCTATGGTCTTACTTCCATATTCTATTCTTTCTCCCTACTGTGAGGCAGACAAAAGCATAAGCTGCCACTGTCCACAGAACAATGAACCTATTTTGAGGAATAATGTTAAAGAAAACAACACGCAAGCAACTCAAAGATTACATTTAGGACAATATCGTCATGGTACCATTTCCTTGAGCATACAGTTTCTATTAAAGCTTTTAGCAAAGAACATGAAGTCAACATTTCTGGTCGCATCTTCCAATTGCAGACACATTAAAAAATTTTCTGCAGAGCAAAGGGATCTAATTTCTGGAAGAGAGCTGGTAGAAGACAGACCTGCAGTCTAGCTTCCCCCTTACTTCAAAAGACATCACTGCTGGTGGGGCCAGAGAGCTAAAGAAAAGGGCAAGGTAGAGTGCAACTGCAGCTGCCTCTTGCAAATATTCAATTAAGGACGTGCATACAAATGCAAGCCAGAAAGCCTAAAATAATAGTACAATCTCTGTGAAAACATTTTTGGATAACATCTGCACTTATGATCAAAAGAATATGCGTTCTCCCTCAATGAATTTTTAAACATGTGCAAAGCTGCCTTTATCAGCAAGAAAGCTATCAATACATTAAATGTTTGAGCTCTACTGAGCTCCAGAGACACATGATCACCATTTCATAAAATGGCAAAGAATCAGAAGTAAATTGACTCTTTTGAGATATGTAATCCATGTGCTTATTCAATCTGGGTGACAGTAAGCCATAAGCATTTCAACTAGCTACAAGTACTGCTAAATGAAAGCAGGAACGCAAGTTGATGCCCTCACAGAAGCTAATGCAAGCCCCTCTATACTCAGTTTTTCTCAACATGTCATTCAAAGGGAGACATTAAACACTGCAAGGATGAAGTGAAAGCAAGTAGGAGATGGACATGAAATGCACACATCCAAAGACACCTCGTTACTGGAAAGCAATGAGAAAAGCCACCTACACTGGCATGAGTACTATGGACCAGTGTGCACATGCCCAAAATGAGTAATCACAAGACATGTAAACGCTCAATTTATACTCCACCTTTGTTAGATATCCTAGGGAAAGGGGGGTGCTTTGACCAAGACTCATAGTTTGAATTACAAGGGTGAGAACACCAGTGAGCTCTCAGAAGAGGTACAGAAATAACCAACAGATGTACTTTTGACAGAATTACTGGACAAACCCCAATTCTTCAAGTCCAAGTAAATATCTCAATATCCCGGACCTGAATTAACACCAGATACAGTACCAAGTCTACTTGAATAAAGGTTCTCTCTGGTACAGATTTTGTTTTGACAATGAGAAAATCTCTCACAGCAAAGAAACTAAGTCTTTCATTCAACAAAAGCCATTCTGCATCCAAGCTGGGGTAGCTAAATCCAGATGCAGGATCTGTATGGAATCCTGCCTCAAGAGACAAAACAAGCAGACAAAGGATCCTCCACTGAGAAACTGAAGAAAATCCAAAACTAGAACTTTCTGAGTTAGGCAGGGTAACATTATCTTCAGGTGGAGAGGCACTAGAGGACAGGTGTCCACCAGACTTCCACTGCAGAGCACTTCAACCCCCTAGGCATCTGACAGGAAGCCCAAACTCAATCCCACTCCAGAGTGCAAATACGAAAGCAAGTCATACATAGGTCCTCCAGCCTCGAGAAACTGCCTGGTACTCTAATTACAAAGTCTTGCAAGCACAAGGCACAGAAGTGAGGAACTGGCATTATCTTATTCATTAACATACAACATTATAATGCTGTTGTCAGACATTACTTGTATGTAGTGTCCCTGAATTTACAGCAAGAGACTTTGCAGGCCATCTTGACAGATGTAAGTTTCATACAGGTTCCCACCTTTGAGTACAAAGTTGAATAGGTAACTCCATTTCAAGAGGAAAATTTTTCACAATGAGAACAATCAGCCATTGGACTAATCTCCCCAGGGAATTGGTGGATTCCCCAACATTGGACACTTTTAAGATTCAGCTGGACAGGGTGTTGGGCCATCTTGTCTAGACCATGCTTTTGCCAAGAAAGGTTGGACCAGATGATCCTTGAGGCCCCTTCCAACCTGCTAGTCTATGATTCAATCTCAGGATGGAGACATCCAACACCACTGAAGCAAGTGAAGGAAAAGCATGGACTGGTACATTCATAGAAATGCAGAAAGGACTCCTTCATGACACAGAATACCCATGGAATATCTGCAGACGCAGGGTGCTCTTGGAAGTGGAGCTGCAAAGTCAAGCTACAAATCTAGAAATTATGTTTGTCATAAGCCCTGCATCCCAAAAGAGAGATGCTTGCGTTAACTGGAAAGGGTGGTCCTTCAGCTCAACACAAAAAACCCCTGTCCTCTAATGCCATGAAGACCTTCCACATAGAAACACCCCTGCCCAAGGATGAATGTGGCTCCAGTAAACCTGTCAGACTATCACTCACAGGTGTAAAATGTGTTATTTCCTAAGATCAGAGTGAATTTGTAGCAAGTCTACTCTTGTGAGGATCCACCAAATGGTCATCAAGATACAGGAAAAATAGAACCTCTGCTTCCTAATAGGAACAACAATTGTGGTTATTGCTTGCCCCTTTACACCTTTTCAGCCAGAGATTTCCTGCCTCTACCTAAAGCTCCCTTAAATTGACAGTCATGCATGGGTTTTGGGTTTTGTTTTTTCTTCTTAAGTGTCAGTCTGTCAGAATCCTGAGTGGGTAAAAACTGAATGTTTTCCAGACTCAACACTGACTTTTCTCCCGTTTATGAAAGGGATCTCTGAGAAGTCATGGAAGAGGCAAGCTGGTTAACAATACTGTATCTAAATGTATTCATAAATCCTTCTAACAACTTCCGTAGTCCAGGCACCTGCTACAATGGCAGAGTCGACACTGAGGTGAATTAGGACTACCAGAGGGAGGGATAAAGCAGCATGACAAGGTAAGAAAGCTTGAGGCTTTTTAATCACACACCAAGAAAGGTGCTCTTTGGAGCTGTGAGGCTGCAACAGTTAAATCTGTGCTTCAACTCTGAGACAGTCAGACTGGTGGCAGTATCAAAATGGACGGAGTTGCCAAATGAAAACAGAAGTTCCTAATGATTTTTCAGATGTTTGCAGTAGATTCAACTGACAACAACTGAAGCTGAGGATTTATACACACCAGTACTAGGAAATTCAGACGTTCCAGAACGTGCCATGGAAGCAACTCTAAAATGGTCATATTGATGACCTCATAGTTTACCTGTTGCTTTAAGGCTTAAACTAAGGCAAACAGGCAACAAAATACTTACCTTGACTGTAATTAAACTCAAATGATGACAATTCAGATTTTTTTAATAAATTAGCTAGATAATACTTTTCCTTTCATGTTTTTAAAATGATAGTGGAAAAAAAAAAAGTGACCCACATTTGTAAAATCAATACAGTGACAGTTAATTCACACTACCAAAAAAAAAAAAAAGTGAAAGTGTCTTGACATTTTCCATTAACATTCCCCAAGTTGATCTGATGCATTTCACAAAGAAATAAAGACAGTAAAAGTGTTACAGGTCAGTAATCACCTAACTCACCACCTTAAATGATGGCTTCTATATGCATTCATACCGTAAGTAATTTAAAGCAATACCCCACTTCCCAAGATAGCAGGAAGAAACCTTTTAACCTTCCACTTGAGTAAGACTGAAGAACTTGCCTCTCAAAGGCATCATACTCTTGAGAGGCCTCTGCATTATAACCTCATGTTAAGCGGAAGAGTGGTCATGTCTGAGCTCTTTCTGAATTAATCCCGATTAAAAAAAAAAAAAAAAAAGGCTACCGCACACTTCGTAACATCATCATGGTTATCTAGGGAGAAGTTCTTGGATTCAAATTTTCAAAAAAGTCCTTTGGACTTTTTTCATCATAGAAACAAACAAGGTGCTCCCTATGAAAAGCCTCACCCTGCAAATAAATACAGATGCAGCTCTCCTAACATCCAGCACATACCGAGCTGCTTCAACTGTAGCACATGCAGTTTAGAGAAAAAAAAAAAAGCAGAGGCAGTGTTGGGGGGTGGTGTTGCTTTTTTCATCATCATCATTTGAAAACCTAGCAAGAGTTCCAAAAGTCATCTTAAAGAATCAAG